CGCCCCATCAGGCAATGTCGATCCGCCCTCCTGTCTCATTTCTCCTGTCTCCTGTCTCCCTTCCTCCGTCCTTCTTCCGTTACTATATTTTCCGTTCTTTCCCACACCCACTCGGTGCTAGCCTCCCCCCACCCGTCTTGCCCGTTCTGTCGTCCTCTTTCCCAGTGGCGGCGTCCTCTTTCCCCGTAGCGGCGCCAAGAACTTAGGACTTCGGGTATCACAAGACGCCCACGGCCTGCTGCGCACGAACGCGCGCCACCTGTACCTTTATTTCGGCATCTACCGGTCCTACTGCTTATTTATCCCAATCTATCCGTGTCGATCATGACCATCCATCCAGTCCTAGTACTCGTACGAGCCTATCACGAATTAATCAATACCCACAATCCCACCCCTCCCTCCCCCCTCCCGCTTCCACTTCCCTTTCATGATTCATCCAAGAATCAACAATATTAATCAGGACTCGTCTATTGATATTCATCATGAGCTCTGCGGTTCTTGTTTCCCCTGCGTCAACTGTAATTAATTATAGCCGTCGAACCCTCCGAGTGGCATGCCATGACGCAAATTATGTCCGCCGCGAAATCCAAAGCCAAGCCGAGCCCTCCGCTCTTATTAATAGCCCGAGTCTAGAGTTTCCAGCACGTTCAATTTCGACTCCCATTTTGTCTCCCTCTTTCCCAGTGGCGGCGCCAAGAACTTGGGAGCACCACAAGATGCCCACGGTGCCTGCTGCGCACGCCGCACGGAGGACGTCCCAGCCCAAGCCAACGCGGGTCACCTTTATCTCGGCATCTCGGTCTCCGGTCCTCTGCTTATTTATCCCGTCCTCTACCCTCTACCCCGTCCTCCACCAATCCGAGTCTGCCAGTGTCGATCATGATCATCCAGTCCTAGTACGAGCCTATCACGAATTAATCAACACCCCAATTTAATCCCACCCCTCCCTCCCCCTCTCGCGTCCCTTCCATGATTCATCCGAGAATCAACAATATTAATCAGGACTCGTCTATTCTCTATTAATATCCCTGCCCTGCGTCCCTTGTTTCCCCAGCCTCAACTTTAATTAATTATATATAGCCGTCGAACCCTCCGAGTGGCATGCCACGACGCAAATTTATCCAACCCAAAGCCAAGCCCCCGCTCCGAATCTAGACCCCCTCTTCTCGCACATTTCTCCGAGTCTGATGTCATTCTCTGTTCGAATTCGACTCCGGCTTGAACCGGCATCGATCCGGCTTCCGCCTTCTTCTCTCCCCGCGCGCGCCGCTCCCACCCAAGGCGCCCACAGCTGCTGCGGAGACCTCAGAAGCGTCCCTCCCGGAAAATAATACGCCGAACTCAGGCTCGCGCTCAGGTGAACAAGCCGGACCTTACGTCGAGCGGGAACCTCGTCCGAATTCGGAATCCTCTCTACTCGTTTGTTTGCCTTCTATCCCTGTTCGATCCCTCCTTCTCTGCGTTCCCTTATCCTTCTCCTTCTCTGTCTTCCACCCGCTATATCCGCCGGCCCCTCTGTGTCGCGTCACTCGTCGTTATACTTAGCACGCTCCCGGGCCTATCCGTCTATCAGTATCAGTCTATCACAGGCACTCTAATTAATCTACAGACAGGGTCTATCACCTCCCACCTTAGAATACCTCCGGTACTCTGAATCTAATTCATCTCACGTCCAAGAAAAGACTCAAAACCCGCCCGCTAAGTGCTCATTCAGAAATCCAACTTCTACACCACGTGTTTCGCGTGCGCGCACCCCACTCCCCGCGGCCGTGGGTTCTCGGCCGTATACCACCCACCCGACTACGCGTTTCGCCGCTCATTATACTTATCACTCTCCTTCCGTCCATCAGCCCATCACCTCCATTAATCTGCAAAGCGTCTATCACCTCCAACCTTGGACCCACCCGACTACGCGTTCGCCGCTCATAATACTTATCACTCCCCTTGCGTCGATTAACCCATCACCTCCATTAATCTTTCTGCCTATCACCTCTAGTACCTATCACCAATCACCCCCGGCGCTCCAAGTCATCTCCTCTAATCACACTGTCCAACCACTCGGAGTCATTCAAGATTCAAGATTCAAGAATCAAACCACTATGTCCCCCCTCTGCGTCCCCTACGTCAACATGCTATAATCAACCATTCAATTAAACTTACACCGCACCGACGTCATCCGCTCTCCCTGACAATTCGAATTCGAATACGGCAACATCGATCCGCGCAGGTGCGTCTGAATCTTCTCCCGCACTTAAACTCCGTCCTCCGAGTCCCACACCTCGCTCCGAGTCGGCAGGTTCCCACATGCGTCATTCGGCAGTTCGCACACACCGTTCGGCAGGTCGCACACTCTCCGCTTCTACTGCGGGGAAGCCCTTACCTCTCAAGCTCTCACCGGGCACCCTTGTCTAGACCGCCTCCGGCTCTCAGTTGAAGCCCCCTCGCAACTTGGGAACCTTCAAAAATCACGTCGGCCTCTGACTAGTATCAAGAGATCATCCACCGAGCGCCGGGCGCCCATCCGCGCCGACCTCCTCTGTGTCTCGCTTCTCCGTGTTTCATTCACCCCATCCTGCTCCCCGCGGCCGCTCGTTACGGTATCCTTCTAAGACTACTCTACTGTATCACCGATTATTATGATTCCATCCAATCTGTCTATCAACGCCGACTCGTTATCTAATCTCCCCTCCCTCCACGCCGCGGCGTATACAGTAATCTGTTTCACCCCTCGGACTCCGACCGCAATTCTCTCGTTCGTCACGGTCCTACGAGTACACCTAGCCTCTCGCCCACGTGTACCCCTCCACGCCGCGGCGTATAGAGTAATCTATTTCAACCCTCGGACTCGGAACTCCGACCGCAAGTTCGTCACGGTCCTACAAGCACACCTAGCCTCTTGTCCACGTGTACCCCTCTCCCCATCCGGCAATCCCGACCCGCCGTCCCGTCCATCGATACCTCCCGCGCGCCTGATGCGTCCTACCCTCCCCACGTTCCCTGCTCTGGGCCCTCGGCACCCCGGCTCGACGGACGCCACATGTACGCGCCGGGTAAGCGCCCTTGAGAACTAAGAAGACGTCTTCTACCTCCGACCGAGCCCAAGGAACCGAGGAAGATACATCAAGCGCCCGCCGTCGACAGGACGGGATTTGATAATAAATCAACAACTCTCGTTTCGCTCGGAGAGCGCTCACCTAACCACTCCTCCGTCCTTTTATCTCCATAAGCATTCATCCCCATGCATGGCCTCAACGGCCGAATTCCAATTTCGCCAAGCCCAAGTCACACCAAAACCCACCGCAGTTCACCCGTCCATCTCGCATTCCAGTCCCGTCTGGCAAGCATCGATTATTCACAAATTATGCCCCCCACCCTCCTTTCCCTTTCCTCCAGCGTTCTTCAAAATCTCAGCCGATCACAATATTAATAACCACCCATCTTCAACGCAAACATCCATCACCGCAGAACGCAACCACAGTTGGCATAACATAACCACTGAGCGCCTCAACCTCGGTCGCCTCAACGTAACCTCGCGCCCAAAACGCAACCAAACGCAGATGCAGTTGAATCCATCTATTCCATCTGCCAATCATTATTTCCCCCAGCGTACGGAAAAATGCCGATCCCAATAACTACCCATCTTCAACTCAAACGCCCATCATGATACGCCCACCGACCATATGCCGTTCGGCGTTTCGCTCCTACACATAATTATAACCTAGCGTTAACCCCTGTTCCTGTTTCGCCACTCATGATACCATCTGTCCATGTCCATGCGTCGATCATAATAATATTAGTACTCATCAATCCCAGCCCTGCACCTCACCTCACCTCATCTAATCTAATCAGAGAGTCGTAGACTGTCCAACAACGTCTGAGATCTGATTCACGCTCCTGCTGCGGGCACGGTTGGATTAATTCCTGCGCCGGCCCCGAGCTGAAGCTGAACTTGATAGGTGCCCAAACTCGTGTACTACTTCCGCTTCTGGAGCGCGAAATTCCAAGCGGTTCATATACATCCGTGATCCAACTTGAACCTCTAGGTTCCGGCCAAAGAGAGCCGATGCAGAGCCAGCCAGACTTCCCAAGTTCTTCACCCAACAACCCAACCCCCGCCGCGCGATAGCTATCAGGCTATTAGGCCATCATGATACCCAACTTAAGTTTGAACTGATAGTCTGATATCCCGGGCCCGGTCATCTACTTAATTACTTCACACTCACGTAGATCTATCCACGCGCACCCCTCCCTTCTCCGTTCATCCGTACATACCCGTCAGCAGACACCTACTTAAAGTTACTTGAAACACATACCCCGACCCGGCCACATACTCGCGCTACGCCCGCTGCCAACTCCCGGCGTATCAGTTTCGCGTGGCGTTGGCGCGCAGATCCGACTCGCACGTCAAGTCCGAGGGAGCCGGAAATCCCCGCACATATCTGCATGAGGATTCAAATTTAAGACACCCTCCGGCGGGGATAGCCTGGGATAGCGGGACTTCGCGGATTATGGAGACCAGACACCGAGCACGGAGCAGACGGGAAAAAAGGAAGGTCACAAAGAGGAAAAAAGTGTGGAACGTAGAATGACCACCGCAGGGGTCGAACCTGCAATCTCCTGATAACATCATTACAAATCGTAGTCAGACGCGATGCCATTTCGCCAGGCGGCCATGAGAGTGGGTTGCAGCGTTAGGAATATGAGTAATTGGAGTGATCGATCACTAATCGCGATCGAACTTTGATTCGAAACGCAAACTTATTTTCCACGCTGGTTGAAATATCAATCTTGAACTATTCTGCCGACTTTGTGCAGTTATAGGCCATCGACTCATCGAAGGCAGCCCAGGACGTCGTAGTTTGATTCCAGGTCGGTCCCTAAAGCCTTTGGGAGGACCTCCGGCCGGGAGATGATTTAAACCAGATAAAACTGATGTACGACCGGCAAAACGGATTTGCGTTGAATCCTTTGCGAAGGGACAGCGCCCGGGAGCAAAACATTGACCACCGCAGGGGTCGAACCTGCAATCTCCTGATCAGGTTCCGCTTTACACCTGGGGTGCTCATATCGTAGTCAGACGCGATGCCATTTCGCCAGGCGGCCGATATGCGCTATCTCCGCCAAGATTTCATAAGCTTGGCACCTCGGCCGATCTTCTGTGAGACTTCCAAAAAATTTCCAGTAGGGGAAACGAATGCCAAGTGATTCTTCGGGATAGAAAAGACGCGGGGAGCAAGCCAGAGGAACGAAAAAGCTATGACCACCGCAGGGGTCGAACCTGCAATCTCCTGATACCATCTTCATAAGTCGTAGTCAGACGCGATGCCATTTCGCCAGGCGGCCGTTGTGATGGCTCTCCCGTTAGCGCCTGGGTGAGTGGGGGATTTATTCGCAACAAAATGAAAAATTGAACGAGGCTGAAGTTCAACTTCAGTTAAAGTATCGAAGCTCTAAACCCCTCGTGTCGTTTTATCGAGGCTGAATAAGAACCTATGGAAGTACAGTGGCGCCCTGTCTTCTCAAAGGAAGACAGTTAAAGCTCACACCAAATCCATTATAAATATTATTTCAAATCTGAACTGAGCAAGTCGGGCTCAGGATTGTAGACCCAAACATGAACCCTAATGATATACGTAATGTTCGTCAAGTACAAGAAAGTGGTGAAAGTTCACATAACACGCCTCAAATGGTCACGGCATCAGTCTCCGTGGGAGCGACATATTCCTCCTCCTTCACCCCGTTCTCGATCTTCAAAACCGTGGACACGTTGAGCGTCAAGATCGTCATGCCCATGCGCGTTAGGACCCGCGGCTCCCAGCCCTCCGGGATGCGTTCCTCGACCAGCCACGGCTCGAGGTCCGCGATTCGGCCCCCAAAGATCGTGATAAAACCCGAAGAGCTGCTCCGGATCTCAGCCCTGCACCACGCAATGGATCAAAAACAAAACGTACTTGGAGCTGCCGACATATCTGTGATACGTGCTGAGGCTGAAGTCTGGGTTCAATGCTCTCGCTTCCGCGCGGCGTTTGGCTAGGCAGCGCGACAAGTCGGCGGTGGTGATGATTGGATTTCCCTCCTTGTCTTTACCGCTAGCGGACGCAAGGACTTCGTTGACGTATGGCAGGTACGGCTTTCCTTGGTCCGGGTTAAATCTGACGTCTTGTCCTGGGACCGAATCAGACCCAGGATTCACGGCAAATGTAGACAGTTCTGGAACGTACTGACGAGGGACGCATCGTGTTCGATTGCGTTGTGCAAACCAATCTCCGCCAGATCGAATGTATCCTGTAACCAATAATGAGGACCGCCTTCGTATCAGTGTTACCGCCCGACGGACCTTTCTATAGTCCTTTTTCAACATCCCCGCGATGGTGATCGGCACATAAGAGGAGAATGAGATGGAGAAGTTGTACGTGTGTCGAACGGCCATGGTCATGTCGGTGAACTTGATATTCCGGCCATCTACAGAAATATTAAGTATCAAACATCCGGATCTTGGGTAGACGGCTTGGCAAACCACGGGGAAGTATTCCTGCCAGACGTGTTAGTCCCTAATTAAATGGAAGTTGAAGACAGTTGATACCATGATTGGCCAAGGCATTCAGCGCCGGGCAGCAGCACCGACTGTCGCCTTCCTTTGGCGGGACGTACTCGGGCCATTTACCCCCCGCCCCCGGACTTCCGTGAGGGACGACGGTCCCAACCTTCAGATTCGGAGTGACGAGATTGATCACAGTGAGCAACGCATCCCCCCCGAAGATGTAGACGGTTTGAAACAGCTTTCCAACCTTGCCCACGAGACCCATCGTGATAGTAAAGTCAGGGTGAGAGGAGGGGGGTGAAGCGAGGGATACACACGCACCAGCCGCATCGAGCTTTTCAAGGAATGTGACGGCGGCGAACAGGCGATTGAACGGTTGCAGAATAGGAAGCGAAGCGAGGGCCAACCGCATAGTGGCCGCATCGAGGTCTTCTAGAATCTAATTTGGCGGCGATTGCTTTGGCCGAATATGACTGCCCCTGTGGGGTTGGTCCGCAGCTCAAATCGAGCGGAAAAATATAAGTAATTATGAAAACTCGAGGCTTTGTGAGGTTCGTTGATATCGGCAGCCCTTCATCGACCTAAAGTGCGGGGGTCACATGCGCACTTTGGATGTATTTCTGGAAGACTACTAGGTCTAGCCAATCGGCGCTAGCTCGCCCACGCACCCACGCTCCCCAATCGGTCTAGAAACTGCCTCAAATATTTAAGGAGGAAGAGAGCTAGTCAACTGCTTCCTACTGCTCCACGGGAGAAGTCTGCACTAGTGACCCAGTATTGCTAGTGTCTCTGCACAGATGCTACAACCACGCCCGTTCCTCACTTGATATAGTGATATCCGCGTCTGGATGGCCTATTAACTCCTATAGCTCCGAGGCAGCTTGAATGCACGCGACCTCAGATGGATATATGCGGCTACCCTCCGAATATGGAAGGACTATAGGACTTACATCTAAATGCTAACTCCAAGTTTCAACCCGAGGTACTTGTGGCGTCTGTGTATGAGCAGAACTCTATTATGAACCCCATTGTGGGTCAAACTGCTGACTAGACTAGTTCCTGAAATACGAGGGACATGTACTATCGTTTGTCGCCGTGCGGATAGCTGTTCCCTCGAGATGTTTTATTCCGCAGGTTTTCATTTCAGGATTTTTACCGCGTCCGTAACGAGCTTTTAGATACTTAGCTTTATCCGCCCCCCCCCCACCCATTTAGGTCCGTGGATGTTTACATCATAAGTCTCATCGAGTCTCATCAACGTAGATAGATATCAATTTTGGTAGGTAGGTAGGTAGGATAAATTTGTAAACTCGCCTACGGTTTCAATGGCGCATCAGTGGCGGTGCACAGGCTTGCTTACGACTCTCATGTCTGTCGACCAACATCAAGTCACCCGCGAAATAAATTACATTATTGCCTGAACCCAGGATACTCGCGCAATCCAATCAATATCCTGCACTCTGTTCCAAACTGACTCTCCCACCCGGAGCCTTTCACGATAACACCTCGATTGCCACCTGTTCGAGTTGCGCCACGTCCGCCCACTGCCGTCCTCGCGCACGAACTCTCTACCCTCGGTTCCGAAACAAATGCCTTGATCTCGATTTCGATGTCATAGTGCCACTCCCGAGGCGCCAGTCGTCGACGCCGCCGATGTAGTGGCATTCTACGCCAGGACCACCGGCGCTCTATGCCTCGGAATCGGATGCCATTAATAGAATATATTCCTCACGCTAAGTCGCCGGGTTACTCCAAGACGCAGCGGCAGCTCCGCGGAAGGACGCCTTTGACGGGACAAAACCATACACTGTTCATCCCAAACAGGGTTAGAAAGCTGTTCCTAAGGGAGGATCTGGATTTCATGGACGTTAACCAACTTGAAAATGACCGTCGCCACGCGTCCATGAGGGGAGCTGGCAGATTTTGGCGGGGTCTTCTGAAACGCACGCACTATTGGCGGATTCCAGGCTCGTGACTCTTCAACCAAGGTTCCGTTTACGATGTGGAACAATTGGGTTGTATTCCAGGACTTCTGTGCTATCTCCGCCTTTAGACCGGTCGAACTCGCCCTGGACTCTGCCTCAGACAAGCCCCCGGTAATCCGTCGTTTATACCTGGCAACACCGCAGCAAAAACATCAAAACTCAACACGAACGAGATGATAGTGAGGCCGCGCTGTCTCCCACCGTCCCGAAACCACTGCACATCTCAACTCCAATCTGATACTGGCAGAGTCCCTCTTGCAACTCTGCGCCCGAAGCTTCGGTTCATTTTGTATTCGCGATGTCTTAAATTCTGACCTAGGTGGTCGCGTGCTGTCCGCCCTGACACCACGAGCATCATCCTCCACTGCGGGAACTTGGACGTATCGGGTACGCCATCACGAGGTTCAAACTCTGTTCGACTTGATAAATGTGTCGAACTGTAAGATCCGGGATACGCGAAGCTTCGTGTGGGGCTTCTATCGCGCAGCAATCGGCCGGAGCAGACACCGCACAGCGTGTGGTCCCAGAACCTGAGGTGGGACTCATGAACCATACAGCGCGTCTTAAACTGAACACCCCCAGTCGGTTGTGGAACTTTCGAACTCAAGAGACTCTGTCCTACTAGTCCCATTGAATACGGCGTCTTCAACTTTCCCGTCGGGGAATCCTTCATTCACTCTGCTCCCTCGCTTTGGGGCGACCTGCCAAATGAAACATTCTGTCAACTCGCAGTCAATCTCAGCTTGATCAGCAAAACCATAAGGAAATCTTTATCCAACACTTTACGAGCAGCGCCGCTGTTTCGTTTCAAGTGCTTTCGAGACAAAGGGTAACTATATGACTGCATCCAACTGTTCAGGGTCCGAGCCTAATGCTCATCGTCCCACTCGGGCAGAGCTGCAACGTGTGGAAACACTCCCCTCTCGCTCCAGGTATAATCCATCAAACATATTAAAGAACATCTCCATCTCGTCGTCTGCGTCTTGACGGGCTCAAATTCCGGGTCCAAAATCCAATCGAGGCGTCGGGATCCAGCGAGCACCCATGCACACATTTTCATCGGCCGCCTGGCGAAATGGCATCGCGTCTGACTACGATATTTACCGTTTATCAGGAGATTGCAGGTTCGACCCCTGCGGTGGTCATGTCTTTTTGGTTCCTCACCATCCTACTTTTTATATGTGCACCTGCCAATCCCATCCGCACGGGCTCCCATCTTCCCGCCCGCATTCATCTGGGTCGCTATCTTCGTTGCGATACACTACCCCTACTACAAGTCAAAGATAAAGAGGTTTCCATTCAAGTACCCGTACTCTATATATCCACGACGCAGAGGAATTGAAGTCATGGTAATCAGCCCAAATATGGGATGTCTGCCGTCGTACGAGGGGTGCTGGGATTCCGTGCCCTTCTAAGGTCCGTTGCGTGGGTGCAGCCGGTGCACCCCACATCGCGGAGGGTCTACTTCGAGAGAGGCAGGGCGAGAAGGCGAAACAAGCGGGCACATCGAGTAGACGAAGTGGGAGGACATGCGGAGCGGAAGATGGAGGAGAGCGCGCGCGAGAAGGGGAGGGGTG